GCAGGGTGTCCACGGGGGCCACTCTCCTCTGCCTCATCTGGGCAGCTGCTGGGCCAGGTGACCCAGGACACTGGCTGGCTCTTCTGGCCTAACAGGGAGGCCAGAGCCCCTAGGCCCGGGGGTGGGATGAGATTTCTGTTACCAGTGGCCAGGCCAGGGAATGTGGCTCTATCTTTGTGCACACTGGGAGCTGGGTTGCTTCCCGGGGGAGGTGGGGGGAGCTGCTGCTGCTGCATCTGGCCGAGGTTTTTCTGGCGCTCCCCAGGGGCTACAGATGTCGGATGCAAGCCCGAAAAAGGAATGAATGAGTTCCAGAAGTCTGTGCCCCGCCCCCTCCCTCCTGAGCAGTCCCAGGTGCTTGATGGTGTGCATGGAGAAGCCCCATTCATTCTGAGAGGGGTCCTCAGACTTTCCTCTGCCCGAGGCGGGCATCCTTCCCTTCATCCTTCCCCATGTGTGGGATCTCGGAGCATAAGCTTGGAGAGGGCAGGACCAGGGCCAGGCAGGGGTGCCTGCGTGCGTGCACATGTGTGTGTCCCACAGGACAGGCTGTCGTCCTCCCTGCACCCCCAGAGAGCGTCTGGTCCCAGGATCTCCCCTCGCCTGTAGTAAGAGAAGGAGACTGGCCTGGCAAAGGCGGGCCACCGCCTTCCTCCGGGTGCCCCCCAGCCTCCTGGCTCCCCAGTTCTCGCCCCGGAATCACCCTCCCACGTTCTCTTTCCCTCCCAGACTCACGACCCAGTGGAGCGTGGAGGACGAAGAGGAAGCCGCGAGGCAGCGCCGCAGGAGGGAGCGGGAGAGACAGCTGCGGTCCCAGAGCGAGGATGGGCCCTGCGGGACCAGCTCGTGCCCTGGGATGGAGCCGGGGCAGCCGGAGCAGGAGAAGCTGTAAGAGCCCCCACTGCCCCCGACTTAGCGTGGCAGCAGATGAGGCACACTAGCACTGCGGTGGTGAGCTCGGACAGACATTTGTGGTGGCGCTAAGTGACTGAGCCCCAAGCCCCGAGTTCAAATCCGACCTCAGACACTTCCTAGCTGTGTGACCCTGGACAAGTCACCTAACCCCTTTGGGCCAGTTTCCTTGTCTGTAAAATGAGGGGGCTGGACTTGGGGACCGTGAAGGTCCCTTATTTCACGGAGGAGGAAACTACCCAGCGAGGGCGAGTCACAGTCACTCCCCAGGCCACACACACAGGTCCTGTGACGATGCAAATTGGCACTCGCCCCACCTCCACTCTGCCGCTGCCACTTTCACACACACGTACACACCACACACATGCGCGTGTGTACCACACTTGCATAACACAGACACACACCACGCATGTGCCTGCACACACATGTAAGTGTGGGGATTTGGAAAGATTCTCTTTTATCCGGTGAGAAGAATTTATGTTTGTTTGCCCTTGGAGGCTTGTGAAGTGCTTTGCAAATATGATTTCACATTTCACTTGATCCTCACAACCCCCTCCCCATCATAGGTGGGTGCTATTATTATCCCCATTTTACAGATGAGGACACTGAGGCAGGGAGCTGTGACGTGATTTACCCCAGAGTCACACCTCCCAAGTGTCAGAGGCTGAATCTGAACTTGGCTCTTCCTTCTTTGTGCAGTGGTCTCTCCTATCCCCCCCCCCCCCCCCCCCCCCCCCCGCCCCCAGCTGCCTTTGTCTCCCATGTGGAGGGTGGGGTTGGAGCCGGGGCCCTGAATCATCGAGAATTCCTAGGAGCTTGTTTCCGATACCGGGCCCCTCATCCGGGAGGAGCCCAGCAGGTTACCTGGTGTGTGACCCACAGAGAGTGGGTCCTGCCTGCAGGAGGCTGGGGTTTTAGCCCAAAGGAATGGACAGTGAGGAGAGCATTTTTCCTGGCGTCCCCTTCCTGTGTCCAGACCACAGGGTTGGGGGACCAGTGGGTTTGGCCTCTGAGGCCTGGGCTCGCCTGGCTTGGCCATTTGCCGCCTTTGTGATCTAGGGCACCTCCAGCCTCAGTTTCCTCATTGGTCAGATAGGGTCCTGCCCTCAGGGCTCTTGGCACTTTGCAAGTCAAACGGTGATTTTTGTATCTCCTTGGTGGGCAAAGAGCCGGCTATGCCATCGGGAAAGGCCAGCTCTGTTTGAGCCAGCCACGGCTCCCTCTTCTAGGGGGCTGCCCAGCGACCTGAGGGAACTGTCTAAGCTTAGGCAGGAGCCCAGGTTCTGAAGCCCTGAGGGACAGCTGGGGGATGGGGAAGGGGCCTCTCAATCTGCCCAGCCCCCCCCCCCCATCCCCTGCAGGAGCTGATTTTTGCAGTGCAGGGTCTCAGCATCTCGCAGGTTCACATCCTACCCCCCCCATGTCCTAAGCCCTTGACCCTGCTAAAGCCCAGGTCTTTCTCTCCATACTGGGTGGGTGGGGTCCCTGGAGACAGGCCAGTGGTGCCAGGGAGGTCAGTTGTTTTTAAATAATCTCGCCCTCTTCCATTCCCTCCCTCTGTTTTCCCCCATAACCCAGAGGGTTAGGGGCTGGGCACTGCCAGGGTCTCCCATGAGCCCAGCTCCCCTTGCCTCCCTGGGCCTCCTGGGCTGGGGCCCCACACACTTACCCCTCACCTTCCTTTATCTACCTCAGCCCCCAACCCCAGATGGCAGATGAATTATCTGGTGCAAGACCCCATAGAGGGAGCAGTGCCCTCCAACACACACGCACGGGCGCC